CTGCCCCCCCTGCCCCGCCCGCCCACCCCCAAGCTGGAGCCCAAGGAGGAGGCCCCCGCCCAGCTCCACAGCCCAGTGCCCGCCAGCCCCAAGCAGGAGCCCGCAGCTGAGCCCGGCACCCAGCACGACGGCTCCGGGCCCGCCAGCCCCAAAAGGGAGCGGGTGGACAGTCCTGCTCCCCGCAGGCCCCCCAAAAGAGTGAAGACCGAGGTGGTTCCCAGCTGACCGGGGGGCCTGGGGAGGGTGGGGCTGTTTGTAGAAGCCATGGATTCTTTTTTTTTTTCTTACTGGTCTCACTTTGTTACTCGTCTCTGTCCTTGTGGGGAGACCTCAGGCCTCAGGGTGCTGAGAGCTGGGCTCCAGGCCCCGGGGCAGACTTGCCCTCCATTGCACCTCCCTTTAGCTTGGGGCCTCTGGAGGGGGCCTGGGAAGGAGCAGCCCCCCCTGGACCCTGACCTTGGAGCTGACACCCCCCTACCCCCTGTACCTGCTCCACCCCCAGGCTGCAGCCTCTGACTCAGGATGTTCCTGGGAGGTGTGGCCAGGCCCTCTGTGGTTTCCTCTGACCCCTGGGCCCTCACACTCCCCAACCCCTGCCTACCCCCAGACAGCCTTTACAGTCCCTCCCGGAGGGAAGGGAAGCAGGGCCATCATTTAGGAGCCAGACTTCATGGCAGGACAGACAATAGAGGCTCAGATTGCCTTTGGCGCTGGAGGAGGAAGGGTGGGTCCACCTGGCTTCCTCCAGGCTTCCAGAAAAGCCTTCAATGCAATAAAAGAATTTCTTGCATCTGAGTCTGTGTTTGCCATCCACAACCTTGCCCTGGGTCCTAGTCCCTGGGGGCAGGGCTGTGTGGTCCCCTCACCCCCTGGGATGTGTGCCTGGGCGTGCAATCCAGGCCTGGGGGCGAAGGAGGGCCTTACCAGCTGCAGATATTTGCTGAGTCCTCAGTTTGTAATTCTCACTTGCGGGATTCTTTATTATGTGCCCTCTGCTACTAGGCTGTGAGCCCCTTGAGGAGAGAGGCCGTGTTTTTTGATCTCAATTGCAACCCCCGGGCACCTGTGCAAAGCGGGCAGGGCCAGGGTGACGCGTTAAAGGAAGAGCGCAGATGCAGCTGGGGTCAGTCCTCCCCAGCTGTGACCTTGGGCAGGTCCGTTCGTTCCCGACGCCTCAGTGCCCTCATCCATAAAACGAGCAGGGTGGGCAGCCCTGCCCCCCAGGAAGGCAACTGCCGCAGGCCTTCCGCGAATACCCTGAAAGGGTCGGGGGTGTGGGGGGTGGTGCGGGCCACAGCTACCTCGCCCTCCTGCTGTGCCCTGCTTTCCACCCGCCGCCGCTCTCCAAGGTGCTGAAGACGCCCCGGCACCTCTGGTCACTGCTCCAGCCTGGGGGGCAAGGGACCCCCTGCCTCACTCCTCTATCCTAGGCTGGCCCAGTCCCTCCTTCTGTGGGTTGGAGAGCCCCAGACTCTAATTCAGCCCCCACCCCACTCCACCTCCATGCCAGCCGTGTTCTCTCCAAATACTTTTATTAAGGACCGTAGCAGTCTTAGAAAAAGGGAATGGCTGTGAGCCATGGCGGCTCCGAAGTTCAGAGCTCAGCCCGTGCTCCAGGGCCAGGGTCCCAGCAGACTTGGCCGCTTCCTCCTCCCTGTGTTCCAGGGGGCAGGAAGGAGTCCCTGGGCGGGGAGTTACCGAGGCCTGGTGTATGCCTATCTCTCGGTCTGTGGATCAGTCTGTGTCTGTCTTCCTGTTTCCTCCTGCACCTGGGTCTGTATGTGTATTTCTCAGGCTTTGTGGCCTTATGGTCTGTGTCTGAGCATCAGTTTCTGCATGGGCCTGGGTCCCTGGGTCTGTAGCTGTGAGTCTGTGCGTCTCCATCCTGACACCATCGCCGGGGTCTCTCCCTCACCTCGGATCCCTGTGCCTGTCGGTCCACTGCAGCACCCCTGACTAGAGGGGCCTGGGGGCACATACCCGTGGTGCTCACAGCTCCCCCACTGCTACCTCCAGCCCCACGCGCCCTGGGCCGAGTGCTTGTTCAGGCCGGGCACAGTCTAGGAGGGCGACCCGCTCCAGCTCCTTCATGGAGTCGCCCTGGACCAGGGTGCCGTTGTCCAGATCCTCCGTCGAGTTGTCCGGAGCCGGCGGGTCCCGGGATCCCCATTCCCCCTGAGGGCTGCTTGGAGACCCTTCCTGAAGTGCGCCAGCCTTGGGCCCATGTCCTGGGGTTTCGGAGCCTGGCACGGTGTTGGGAGCCACACGGGATGCAGCATCGTTGTGCAAAGTTCTGGAGAAAACTGAGCAAGGGTTGGGGGGGGCGTGAGGGATGGCCTGAGGGGCTGGGTCCCTTCTTTCTTTTAGCCCCCAGCCTCAGGAAGCAGTTGCAAGGGGGCCTCCTCCTCCTCCCCCAGTGGCACAGTATGGGGGCTGGGGATCCAAGGGGAGTGCGCCCACGGGGCAGCCCAGAGGGTTTTGGGGGGAGGGGCAACCCCCTGGTCCACCTACCTCTTACAGGCACGAAGTCTCCGGGGCTCTCGGCTTTGTTGGAGGCGAAAGGGCTGATGGAGGGGAGGATGATGAGGGCGAAGGAGAAGAGCAGGACCTGGTGGAGATGGGGGGCAGGGTCACCCCATCCCTCCCCCTCCCCTGAGCACGCTCGTCTCACAGGCAGGGAGACCGAGGCCCAGAAGACGGGAGCGCGCGTGAGCCGGGGCTCAGGGCCGGCCGTCCTCCTACTCACACTCACCTCCCCCACAGGACCCTTTGCCAAGGCTGACAAGCCCCTTGGAGATGGGGGTCAGGACTCACCGCTATGCAGGTGCCCGTCTGAGCCGACTTGCTGGTGGACTGGACCACGATGGCCTGGAGTTTCTTCAGCTGCTCCAAGAGGGACCTTAGTGGAAACGGGAAGACTTGCTTGATCCCTACATAGCCTTGACCTGCCTCCCTCTGATTCCTGGGGTCCCCCAGCCTGGCTGAAGTCTAAATCCCGTCCATCCTTCAAGGCCCCACTGCTCTTAAAAGTCCCAGAAGCTCCCTCAATAAATCACTGAACATCTCACCCACTTCTCTGCCACCCCACCTTCTCCATCCAGGTTGCCATTACTGCTCGCCTGGACACCGGCTCCAGCCTCTGGGCCCCCCAGGCTTCTCCTGCCTCCTCTGGAGTTCATGCTCCACACTTTTTCAAATGTGAGTCGACTTCTCCCAACCCTCCCAGAGTTCCCATCTCCCTCGGAGGTAAAAGCCCAAGTCCTCCCCGAGGCCCACAAGGCCCTGCACGACCTGCCCCGTCCCCTCCCTGCCCTCCCCTCCTCCCTCTCTCCCCCTCGCTCACTCTGCTCCAGACACACAGCCCCTCACTGTTCCTCCTACGCACGAGCATTCCTTCCCCAGGGCCTCTGCACAGGCTGTTCTCTCTGTACCAAGGACACTGTTCCCCTGCCCCACCCCTCACAGGTCTTTTTGTAGCTGCTTCTTTCTTAGCTGTTGGGTCTCATCTCAAATGTCACTTTATCTGACCTCCCTGCCTAAAATGGCACCCGCCTCACTCCCTAGCCCCTTCCCCCTAGTTTATTTTTCTTCCCAGTGGCTATCACTATTTGAATGGTTTTTCATATATTTTTGTTTGTCTTGAGTCTGTTTCCCAGTAGAATGTGAGTCTTTAAGTGGAGGGGCTGGGTCTGTTTTGTTCACTGTTTGGGTCCCAGTGTCCAGAACTATGCCTGGCACAGAGTAGATGCTAAATAAAAATTGACTAAGTAGGACCATACAGTTTGATCTAGAAGTATGCCAATGTAGCAAATACTCAGTGGAAGCTACTTGGAAACAATGGCTCAAGAATTTTCCTCAGGTTAAAAACAGGTTAGTAGAAAATATACCACCTGGTTGGAAAGTTTAAACATAGCTACATTATAGCACAGAAAGAAAAGAACTAAAATTCCTTTCTAAATACCACCATAAGAATCAATCAATTCCCTGGTGGCTCAGTGGTTAAGAATCCGCCTGCCAATGCAGGGGACATGAGTTCAAGCCCTGATCCGGGAAGATCCCACATGCCATGGAGCAACTAAGCCTGTGGACCACAACTACTGAGCCTGCGCTCTAGAGCCCACGTGCCACAAGTACTGAAGCCCATACGCCTAGAGCCCATGCTCCGCAACAAGAGAAGCCACTGCAATGAGAAGCCTGCTCACCGCAACGAAGAGTAGCCTCCGCTCACCACAACTAGAGAAAGCTCACGTGCAGCAACGAAGACCCAGCTCAGCCAAAAATAGATAAATAAACAAATAAATAAATAAATAAATTTATTAGGGAAAAAAAAAGAATCAATCCCTCACTATTTTCAAACAGACGATTCTATGAAAGCATAAGGCACCAAGCAGTGTCCACACAACATGAAGAATATGCTGATAGGTTTTTAAAAAATAGATCAAGCTGTTTAAACTTCAAACAGGACATCACAGAAGATGGAAATTTAGCCCGTATTAACTCAATTATGGAGGCAACACCGACCTTGTGACAAGATGAATGTATATATGCAGGGGGATAAAAGATTTAAGGTTTAAAAAACACCCAACAACTTGACAGAGGCATACGTTTCTTCCCCAAAGCTGAATGAATGCAACAAAGTCCTCTCTGCCACCAGAGCAGACATCCAACAGTTCAAAATGTGAATCGGGAGGCTGACCACGATGGGGGGAGGAAATACCACCTCCTCCCATCACAACTAAAGTGTTAACACAAGCTATTTCACAAACACCTGTAATGGCATCATCCATGACACCCCCCAAAAAATTGACTAAGTAAATGCACCCACAGATGGAATCACCTACAGTTATCCAGCATACCATACTCCTAGCCTTTAGCCATTCATATGCCATTTCCTCTACCGGCAGCATCTTCCCTTTAGTGAACTCTTATACATCCTTCAAGGGCCCAAGTCCAAAACCTCTTCTCTCTGCAGGCTTCCCCCTTTCTAGGTGGAGCCCTTACCCCCTGCTCTGCCCTGCCGTCACACAGCCTGTCCCCCCATGCCCCCCTCTCCTGCAAGGGACTCTGGGGTCAGCTCCTCCTGTTCTCTGCCTCAGTTTGACCAATACTCACAGGTTCTGCTTCTCAAGATGCAAGACCTTCCTCTGAAGTTCCTGGTTCTGGGCAGTGCAGGCTGACATCCTGAAGGGGCAACATCACAGTGACATTCAGAATATGCCTGTCACCAACAGGTCAAACTAACGTCTCTTTGTGAGGCCCCACTGTACAGGCAGGGAACCGAAGCCCAGAGAGGGGAAGTCATTCATCCAAAGTCACCCTGGCAAGTCTGTAACAAGGCCAGAATTTGAACCTAGTTCTGCCTGGCTCCTAGGTACCATCTTTGCATTGGTGTGGGGGCTTTCTTCCGGTCTGAGCCCCAGGATTGGAAGTGGACCACCAAACTCAGGCAGTGATGCTTTGAGAAGATGCAATAGCATGGCAACTGAGTCCAAGGAGACCCAAGTTACAATCTTCACCCTCCCTGTGACCTTGAGGCGCTCTGCTGTCTGGCCTCAGTCCCCTCATCTGTAAAGTGGAGATACAGTTATCTAGTTCATAGAGCAGTTGGGGACTGACATGAAGTAAAGTTGATTAGGGGCTTAGCAGAGTACATTTGAGGAACAAGACAATGTGATCATTCCATCTAGGGTTTTGGGGTCCAGTCCGGGAACCCCACCTTTCCCATCTGCATCCATCTGTTAATGCTGTCTTGGCCCAGACCACTCAGATGTAGAATTAAAACACTCAAATAATGGGACTTCCCTGGCAGTCCAGTGGTTAAGACTTCACCTTCCAGTGCAGGGGATGTGGGTTCAATCCCTGGTTGGGAACTAGGATCTCACATGCCTTGAAGCAAAAAAACAGAAAAAAAAAGAAAAAAAAAAAAACAACCAAAACATAAAACAGAAGCAATATTGTAGTAAATTCAATAAAAACTTTAAAAATGGTCCACATCAAAAAATCTTTAAAAAAACCAAAACACTCAAATCATGGCATGAGGATATGCTAGTCCTCATATCACAACCAGGGAAGAGAATAAATTCTCCCACTAAAAGGCCCTCCTTCTAAATAACTCATGGGATAAAGAAGAATCCACTGTGTAAATTAAGAAAGACCTAGGGACCAAATGGTAATGACAATGGTACAAACCAAAGTGTATGAGATGCAGCTAAAGCAGTGCTGAGAGGAAAATGTATAACCTTTTTTCTTTTTTTTTTTTTTTGGCCCCTCAGCATGCGGGATCTTAGTTCTCTGACCAGGGATCAAACCTGTGCCCTGCTGCAGTGGAAGCATGGAGTCTTAACCACTGGACTGCCAGGGAAGTCCCCCAAAATGTATAACCTTATTACAGCTCAACCAGCTGAACATACACATTTAACAATTAGCAAAAGAACAACAGAATAGATCTTCCCCACCAAAAGCAAAACAAAACACAACTAAAGACACAATAAAGCTAAGAGTAGAAATAAAGGAACTCGAATACAAAAAGACAACTGGGTGGGAGGAAAAGCCAGAAATTCATTCTTTGAAAAGAATAATAAAACAGACAAACTTCTGGCAAGATTGACCAAGATAAAAAACAAGAGAAGGCACAAATACACAACATGAGTAATTAAAAAGGGCACAACTATAAATTATTCAGAACTTAAAAAAATAATAGAACTATGAACAATTTTATGTCAGTAAATTTGAAATGGAGAACTTTCCAGAAGAATATGGCATCTCAGAATTGACTAGAAAAGAAATAGAAAACCCAAATCTGTAACACTTAATTAAATCACTTTTGGTTTAAAAAGTGAGCAAGCTAAGCTTTTAGGTTTCTATTAAAGAATAAAGAGGATCCTGTCCCTCAGTAGCCTAAATGAGTTGAGAGAGGCGATTGGATGAGATTGGGGTGCACAGTTCTTTTTCTTTTTTAATATTTATTTATTTACTTATTTGGCTGTGCCAGGTCTTAGTTGCGGCACGTGGATCTTAGTTGTGGCATGTGGGATCTATTTCCTTGACCAGGGATCGAACCTGGGCCCCCTGCATTGGGAACGTGGAGTCTTAACCACTGGACTACCAGGGAAGTCCTGGGGTGCACAGTTCTTTTTTTAAATTTATTTATTTATTTATTTATTTATTTTTGGTTGCATTGTGTCTTTGTTGCTGAGCATGGGTTTTCTCGAGTTGTGTCAGGTGGGGGCTACTCTTCGTTGCGGTGCACAGGTTTCTCATCGTAGTGGCTTCTTTTGTTGTGGAGCACGGGCTCTAGGCACGCGGGCTTCAGTAGTTGTGGCCCGCGGGCTCCATAGTTGTGGCTCAGGAGCTCTAGAGCACAGGCTCAGTACTTGTGGTGCACGGGCTTCGTTGCTCCGTGGCATGTGGCATCTTCCTGGACCAGGGCTTGAACCTGCGTCTCCTGCATTGGCAGGTGGATTCTTAACCACTGCGCCAACAGGGAAGTCCCGGGTGCACAGTTCTTAAGTTGAGGAAATTCTGCCTTTCTTCTCCCCGACCAAAGGAAGCCATGACAGCTCTGATGATCAGTGATGCTCAGCAGGGGAAGTAAATGTCCCATCTTCAGGCAAAGAGCCAGGACAAGAAGGATGATACCTTCTTGGCATAACATCTTCTAGGGGATTAAGGGGCCTCGAACCTGAGCCCTGTACCACCTTACTAGGCATTTTTCCATCCTTGCAATTCACGTGAAAAATCGTCTCTCCCAGAGAAGGAAACAACTCTAATTTTGTCATATCCTGAAAACTGTGACCTTAGCTCCATTGCATCCCTCTCTCAGGCCTCAGTTTCCCCCTTAAGTGTGGTGTCCCGGGACCCCAGCCTTACCGAGTTTCCAGGCCATCAATATATTCCTTCTTCTTTTTCCGGCTTTCTTGGGCTGACTGTTTGTTCCGAATTTTCCGGCGGATTTTTTTCAGCACTCGCTCCTCATACTGCAGAGTGACATGGGGAGCAGACTGAGGCAGTCTGGAGGGTCCGCTCTCTTGTCCAGACCCCACAACTTCACCCCATTATCCTCCCAAGGGAGCCATCCCAGACTCAGGGACTTGAGGGCAGACCCATGATGACTTGAAGACCAGATTTTCTGCCCTGAAATTCTTGCAGAATCTCTAGGGGGGTCCTGGGTCCTGAAGGTCTTCCCAGCTCCCAAACCCAGTCCCGTATTGGCAACTGGATTTTGTGCACTGGTGCAATCCCGCCATCTTCTGGCCATCTGTGGGAACAGTGCCTTTCCCGAGGCCAGTTATCAAGACTAAGAGAGGTCTTCCAATTGGAAAAGCAAACTCAGATACTGATATTGAGTGAACAGGCTGGGTGGAGACTGCGGCCAGCTAGAAAGCCCCCACTGCGGTGGCTTTGAGGATGATTTTTCTGGCTCTGGTGACAGACACGTCCTAACATTCTAGTGTGGGAGACCCAAAGGTGAGACTCATGGGCAAGTAGCTGCAGGAAAGGGGGCGAGCTCCAGAGCCAGGGGTCCCACTGACTCACCTTGGTGAGGGGCAGCTGGGTGGGCAGGGTGATGCCTTCTTTGGCCAACAGCTTCTTCTCGTCCTCTGTCAGCACCAGCTCCTGGCTGTGCCCGGTCCCAAGGCTCAACAGGTTGGGGGCTGCCAGGTGATGTTGCTGTGGGGAAACCAGGAGAATTGCTTTGAGGGCAGGGAGAGTGACCGCCTCTGGGAAACGAAAGAGGCATCAGGTCTGAGAAACAATCGATCCATCTGCCGTAGAGTCCCCACTGGCACTAGGGCTCCAAAGAACCAGCACACAGCCCTCTGACCCAGCAATTCCACTTCCAGGAATTGCTCTTTACATATAAGTTTTTCATTTGTTTCACAAGTAGTCATTAGACAGCTATGTATTTAGCACCTACTACATGCCAGGCACTTCTCTGGGCTCTGAACATTCCTTGAAGTGCATTCTGCAACAGCAAAGGGAAAATCCAACACACAAGGCACAGGTTAAGTGAGCCTCCAGGAAATGGGGGTGAGGGGTGTTTCTCCCTGTCTACTTGTTTGTACCTTTGGAACTTGGACTATGTGACTGCATTTGCCTATTCAAAATTTTTAAAATTAAATTTAAATTATGAAATAGAAACATTGAAAATGAAAGAATCGGGTCATCAGAGAGCCAAGTGTTAGGAATGTCACACCATGGAATGGGAGGCTCAGGAATAAAGGTGGAGATTGGGGCAGCCTGACATTCGTTGGATCAAATTCCACTCCCTAGAATTCCAGGCCATGGATCAGCCCAACCATTTTCTCTCCAGGATCCAAGCCTCAGTATGTTCATCTGCCAAATGGGGATAAGGTCTTCCACTTCCCAACGTTGTTCACACACAGAACAACAGTATTAAACTTGACACATTTACAAAAGCCAGTTAGTATTTCCAGAGCAGTCATTCACCTTTCCTATCTTTCAAGACCTGCTGAAGTTCTGCCTCCTCCAGGAAGCCTTCCTGGACCTGCAATGCCCCTCCAGCCTCTCTACCTTATGGGTACACTTCCATGAGCAGTCAGTTGTCCCCTTTTGACCATGAGGTCCCCAGAGGCTGAGCACACAGCTGGTGCTCACCGCGCATCTCTCAAGTCAAGAGGGGTGTTCTGCTCTTTCTTAGAGGTTGTCAGGACAACTTTGGGCATCAGGCAAACTAGAGTTCAAATTCTGACTCGGCCACTTGCTTGCTGTGTGACTTTGGGTTTGCGGCTTAACCTCTCTGGGCATTGGCTTTCTCATCTGAGAAATGGAGGTACTGATTGGGTTCTCAGGTCTGGTTTACCTGTAGTAGAACCCCAGGGCAAGATAGACAGCCCTCAGTCAGTGTGCAATGGGCACAGTAGGCCCAATGGGCCAGCCCAGGGATTAAGCCTGCAGCAGCTGTGTGACTTAGGTCAAATTACTGGACCTCTCTGTGCCCATTTCCTCAAACGTAGAATTGAGATAAGAGCCCCAGTTTTCAGGGTTGCTGTGAATTAAAAGATGATACATTAAGAGCATTTAGAAGAGTGCCTGGCCTATAGTAGATGCTTGGTAAGTTTAAGCCTTTTTTTTTTTTTAATACTACTACTATAGTAGAAAGTATCCCAGCCCAGGAGACAGAGAACTCAGGACTGGGACCCACTGACTTACTCTTGGGGTGTAAGTCAGAGTAAGTGACTTGGACTTACCTTGGACAACTATCAGCCCCTGTCTGTGACTGTCTTCCAGTCTCCAAAGTGAGGGTATTGGGGCCCCAGGAACCCCAGTGCCCTCCCACCTCTGATGCTCCAGGGGTCGGGTGCGGACTGCTCACCAGGTCCCCGCCACTGCCAGAGAGGAGGAGGTCTTTCACTGTGAGGTTGCAGTGTGGGGGTGAGCTGGCCAGCTCAGCCTGCTCCCCGGCGTACAGGCCTGGGCTCCACATTTCTGACAGGGCAGATGGGGACAGAGAAAGGGAGGGAGTCAGGCGGGGGGCCCCTGAGCTCCCAGCTTCTACTTCCCTCCTCCAGCAAAGCTCCCAGCATTGACCCCAACGTGCTAGGGATTTGTAGCACAGCTTGGGGCCCCAAGACCTGGTGCCTCAGTCTCCCCTCCACCATAAGATGGGAACCCAGATTCATCAGGACATTGTCAGGGACCCACTGTCAACCCGGGAGGGAGCAGCTGTTATTGCCCAGGATTATAGGCTGGATCTGCAGCTGGCCTGGCCTTATCTCTCCCTTGGGGAAAGGACCAGGTCTGATTTACCTGTGGTTCCCTCCCACCAGGTACCTGGCAAACTGTAGGTGAGCTGCTCTGGAGAGCAGACTTCAGAGTCAAATAGCCCTTTGCTCTAATCCCGACTAGGTGGAGCTGTGTGACCTTGGGCAAGGGACTAAACCTCTCTGAGCCTTAGTTTTGTCAAGTCTCCAAAGGGACTAATAAACGTTCCCATACCATCGCAATGCTCAAGATACAAAGGATACCCTGTTGGCGGTGGCTTCTGCATCAGGCCTTTCTCCAGGTCCAGGGGCAACACCCCAAGGCCTGGGATCCCGTGACCTCACACACTTTCATTGAGCGTCTACTATGATCCAGGCACGGAAGGTACAAAAATGAGGTTGCCAGCATGATGCTTGCGGCAGGAACCAGTCTGCCAGGGGCGCATCCCACCTTTGCGGCTCTGACTCATTTCTTAACCACCTGGAAAACGGGCCCATGACAGACAGCATCCCAATAGCCGTCTCAAAAGGTGGGTTTGCATGGGTTTCCCTGGTGGTGCAGTGGTTGAGAGTCCGCCTGCCGATGCAGGGGACACGGGTTCGTGCCCCAGTCTCGGAAGATCCCACGTGCCGCAGAGCGGCTGGGCCCGTGAGCCATGGACGCTGAGCCTGCACGTCCGGAGCCTGTGCTCCGCAACGGGAGAAGCCACAACAGTGAGAGGCCTGCGTACCGAAAAAGGGTTTGCGTGTACAGTGCCTGGGAGAAGGTGAGGGTAGTTGACAAAGACACAGGACTCACCCAGGTCTATGGCAACGGAAGCCTCAAGCCCTTGGGCCACTGGCCCAAGGTTCCTGGTGGGGCAGGCAGGGCCAGTATGGTAGGAGGGGCAGGGCCCCTTGCCAGACTCTGCGCTATGGCAGCTGGCCGGGGTGGCAGCCACCCCACTGTGTGGAGGGGTGTCCTGGGGGTCGGAGGGCAGATCTTCTGAGATGCCACTGTCACTGGCCGCAGGAGACCAGGTCGGGGAGCTGGGCACTGATTCTCCAGAACCCAGGATGGAGTTGAGGAAATCATCAGAGTTCGGGCCTGGCAGGACCTGTTAGGACGGAGAGGGACGGTGGGAATTAGGAGGCCTATGTTTTGGTTTGGATAGCTGTGTGTCTCTGGGCAAGCCACTGACCCTCTCTGGGCCTCACGTTTTCTTTCTGTAAGATGGAAAGATCTAACACTCCTCGCCCCCAGTGTTGTTGGAGCCTGAACACAGTCATGTAGCCCGGGAACAACATCCAACCGTGTCGAGGCACAGGCCCCAAGTTTAAGTCTGGACCCAACTCCAAACTGCTGTGTGTGTGACCCAGGACAAGTTACCACCCCTCTCTGGGCCTCGCTTTTCCCCACCTATAAGAAGGAGGTGACGTCATCTGCCCCTTAGGTCGCTGAGAGGTTCCATACAATAACGTGCTTTGCTAAAATCTCACACATGAGCAATAAATGCACAGAGCTGAGTGGGATCCTGGCTCTGGCCCTGGGGTAAATGCAGCGGGTTATCACCTCGTCCTCAACGTGGCCCCAGTCCTCGCCCAGCTCTATGTGTCTCAGGATGCCGTCCTGCCGGTCAAACAGGAGATCCAAGAGTTCCAGGCTGTCGATAGGGCACGTGAGACTGGTGGAGGAAGACATCTGGGGCAAGGAGGGGACATTTGTGAGGGTCATGCAGCCCTTCTCCTCCCCACCACCCATCTGCACACCACCCTGAGGTCCATCCTGCTCCAGTTCTATCCCGGCTCCAGCCCCAAGGTCGGGCCTGCTGCTCCTGCTTGCTGGACTTCTGTCTCCAAATCTGTGTTTTGGGGCCAACCCAGAGACTCCTGGGGCCTGACAGCCAATTCCTTTAAAAAGTGGTAGACAGATGCCCCCGTGGGGATGATCAGCCGATGGAACTAGCCCTCTCCTGCACTCCCATGCTGCCCAAATTCCCCCCTTCTGGAAGGTGGGAGGACCAGGAAGAAAGACCAGGAGCAGCCCCAGAATGGAGACACAATTTTGGTCGTTGCATTCTCCCTCTGGGCCTCAGTCTTCTCATCTGTAAAATGGGATGTGAGGTTCTTGCCAACCCTGGGAGTTTGGGGAAGGTTCCTGGCATAAACCCTCCCTCACCTGGAGACCCGTGCAGGGCTCACCTTTCCAACTGCTAAATCCCCATTCATGAGCCCGGCCAGCTCTTTCTCCAGCCACTTCTGCGTCTGCTGCGAGCTGGGGGCTCACCCCACCACCAGGGCTCCCAGGCTCAGCCGGCTCTTCTCTGTGGCTCTGTCACCACCCCTAAAAGATGCTGAAATAGTCCTGGGGAGCTCCTAGCCCACCCCCAGGTGCTGATTGGGGAGCAGGCAAGACAGACAGGGTTAAGGGCCAGTGACACGGGGGCAGGCTAGGGGGAGGGGAGGGAAGACCGTTATCTCAGATGTTCCGTGCTTTTCCAGTCGGCAATGGGCAAAGGCCAAAGTCTGGGGAGCCGCGGCTCTCGCATGACCTCTCCCCTACTTTCAGGGACTGTTTCTCGTCATAATCCCTGGATGTCGGCTCCAGGAGAGCCCAGGGCCCCTGGCTGGGTCCTGTCCACTCTCAGAACAGAACCAAGAAGAACTGCCCAGGCCTCCGCTAGAGCCCTTCCCTCTGCCAGGAGCCCCCTTCCCTCATTGGAGCTGGCAACCCCCAACCCCCTGCCCGCAAGCAAGCTCTCCACGGCCAAACCAGAACAATCGATTCCTTCTAGAATCTTCTATCATTCATTTATTCTCAATAAATATTCATTGAGCCAAACTTATTCCCTCCTCAGGGCCTTTGCACTAGCTGTTCCCTCTGCCTGGAACTCCTATCCCCTCCACCCCGAATCTATCACTGCATTCACATATTCGGGAATGTTTTCTATCTGTGGATCTCAGCCCAGTTAGTTGAGAGGCCGTCTCTGACCCCTCACCAGAGAGAAGCCCTCACCCTGTACCTCTTTATCACATCACTGGTTTCACTGAAATCCTCACTATCTGAAATTTTCTTGTTTACTTGCCTGTATTCTTCCCTCATTCCTCCCCTGCCTCTTCATGTGAGTGACTTCGGGGCTAAGATAGAGGCTCTTTTGTTCTCAGCTGGGTCCCCAGTGTCTAGGAAGTGCCTGGCACACAGGAGGTGCTCAGTCAACTCTTACTCATTGGGCACCTCCTGTGTGCCTAGCACTATTTAAGACCCTGGGGATAAGGCAGTGGATGAGCTAGACCATAAATGCATAAACACACCAGAAAACTGACAAATGGGCAAATGCTACCAAGAAACTAAATGTCATTATATAAAGGGCAACAGAGGGCTAGCAAAGGCTTCTTTTTAGAAGGTGACATTTAGGGACTTTGCTGGTGGTCCAGCGGTTAAGACTCCACGCTTCCAGTGCAGGGGATGTGGGTTCAATCCCTGGTCGGGGAACTAAGATTTCACATGCCATGTGGCATGGCCAAAAATTTTTTTAAAAAGAGGTGACATTTAAGTACAGTCCTGAATGATGAGAAAGAGCCAGCCACTGGGAGATCTAGTGGAAGGGTGTTTCAGGCCAAGGAACAGCATGTGCAAAGGTCCTGGGGCAGGATGGGGCCTGGCGTGTTGGAGGAACAGCCAGGAGGCCCATGTGGATGGAGCAGAGTGAGAGAGGGAGGAGGGGAGGGCAGGGAGGATGTGGGGCAGGTCGTGCAGGGCCTTGCAGTCTGTGGCAAGGAGTTTGGATTATACGAAATACAGCAGGAAGTTGTTGGAGATTAGTGAATGGATGACGAACATTCTGTGTGCCGGGCACGATGGTAGGTGCTAGGTTTACACAGTAACTCAGACACCCTCCTTGCTCTCAAGAAATTCACAACCTGGTGTACATTTCTCCCTGGACCAGCCATTATTTATTCATGCATCAAAAATTTAAGGACGACCTATCATGTGCTGCGCCAGAGTGGTTCTCTTATCCGACAGTAACATCTGTGTTTGTCACAACTGGGGGTGCTCCAGGCGTGGAATGAGTGAGGGTCAGGAATGCTGCTCCACACCTCACAATGCCTGGAACGGCCCCACACAGAGAAAGTCTGGCCCGGATGTCAGCAGTGCCTGGCGGGAGAATCCCTGCATTACGGTAACTGTCCCCCTCTGAATAGGGGACATTATCTCACTCTTGACCTCTGCATCTCTTATTTCCTTTTTAACCACTCTGTGTTAGATTTGTGTGTGTGTGTTGGATTTTTTAAGGGGTTTGTTTGGTTTGGTTTGGCTTTCCTAGTCATAATATTTATTCAGCCTTTGCTGTGGAGGCTCCTTTCCAGGGCAGTGTCAGCAGGTGGAGAAAGTAGGTGAAGTTTGACTTCTGGGCTTGTCTCTGCCTCCCCCTCACTCCCATTTATGACTCTGAGGAGCCCCGGTGCCCTTGACATAGAACTTCCTCCTCTTCTTATCAAAACCTGCCAGAATCATGGATCTGGTATTACTCATTTACACCTTCACATAGATTTAGACCCCATAGTCCACCTCCCCAGGATATTTGTACTTTTTTGTAATTTTATAATCACGGGCTTTGGAAGGCTTTTATATGTCCTAATGAAGAGACGTCTGAAAAGGTAGGATAAAGATAAGCGTTTGAGGGACAAGAGGACTTTCTGATGCCCTTGGAATCATATGACCTGATTTACTGGACATGACCACATGCTTCAAAGTGATGCTAAGTTGGAATCTAAAGTAAAATTCCCACAATAGATTCCACCAATGTGTTTAAGCACGAAACATGGGACTTCCGTGGTGGTGCAGTGGTTAAGAATCCGCCTGCCAATGCAGGGGACATGGGCTCGAGCCCCGGTCCAGGAAGATTCCACATGTCGTGGAGCAACTAAGCCCGTGCGCCACACCTACTGAGCCTGCACCACACCTACTAAAGCCCACACGCCTAGAGCCCATGCTCTGCAAGAAGAGAAGCCGCCGCAATGAGAAGCCCGCGCACCGCAACGAAGAGCAGTCCCCGCTCGCCAAAACTAGACAAAGTCTGCACGCAGCAATGAAGACCCAATGCAGCCAAAAATTAATTAATTAATTATTTTAAAAGTATGAAACATAACACAAGAGGATGCTGTGTTGACTGAGGAATACTGTGTTAATAAACAGCTTTGCAGAGCTTGTCAGAGCCTGTACAACACTCTGTAACACCCTTGGAAGGGACAGAGTTTGTAGCATTTCTTAAACATAATTGCGTAGGTGTGAGTTTTGTTTTTAAGTTGCACTTGATTGATACTGAACCATTTCTGATATATGAAAACGTTTAAAGATACCCACTAGACTGACTGCAATACAAAAGACAACATCAGTTGTTGGCGGAAAATCTGGGGCAACTGGAACTCTCACCCACTGTTTGTGGGAACCAAAAGGGTCCAACCATTTGGGGAAACTTTGGACAATTGGGAAATCTCTTATAAAGTTAAACATGCATTTACCATATGACTTAGCAATTTTATTCCTGGGTATTTACCTAAGAGAAATGTAAATATATGTTCACAGAAGGACTTGTACCTGAATGTTCACAGCAGCCTGATTCATAATTGTCCTGAACTGTAAACAACTCAAATACCCAACAATAGGGGAGTGGATAAACAAACTGGTATATCCATACAACACAATAGCACTCAGCCATAAAAAGGAATAAATTACTGATACATTCAACAACATGGATGAATCTCAAATGTATTGTGATAAAAGAAGCCAGACACAAAAGAATACTGTAGGATCCCATTTATACGACACCCAGAGAAGAGGCAAAAGTAATTCTTGGCGATAGAAAGTGGTTGCCTGAAGTAGAGGGGGCAATTGAGAGGACAGGGACATGAAGGAACTTTCTAGGGTGGAGAAAATATTCCATATCTTATTTTTAATGGTGGTTACATGATTGTCTAGAATTGTCAAAACTCAGCCAATTGAACACACCTAAGACCTGTGCATCATTACTGTAAATTAATTCTACCTCAATAAAAAACATACTAAATACATAATGAATAACCGCGTACACAATGCGTTTAGGAAAACATTAGAAACAACCAAAATATCTGTCAATAGGGGATTGATTAATAGAGTCTCAGGTGTTAACACAATGGAATATTATGTAGCTGTGAAAATGAATGAGGGTTCTCTTTATGTACTGATATGGGACAATATTGAAAATATATGGTTATTTCAGTGTTTCTCAACATTTTTTTTATTCTGGCCCTCCCACAAGGAGTCTTGAAGACATTTTCCTAACTGCTCCACCATGAAACTGTAAATCCACATGTATTCTATATACATGCTTGTGTACCATATGTATATCTGTGCTTTATACAATAAAAGAGTAAGATTTTTTTTCACCCCTTAAGAACTAGTTTTCACAACCCCCTTGAAGATAATATCTTTCCCATTGAAAATGCACTGGTTAAGTAAAAATTAAGGTGCACAACACAAGATACTGTCTGTGTGTGACAAAAGGGAAAATGAATGTGTATACATGTTTCTTATATATTTATAGAATATCTCCGGAATGAGACACAAGAATCTGGTAAAGGTGGTAACCTTCAGGGCTGGGAGCTGGGAGGTGGGATAGAGAAGGAGGGCTTTTCTCTGCATAATCATTTATTTTGGAATTCTCAGCCATGTGCCCGATGTACATATCCCAAACAAAGAAATACAATTTAACTTAAAAAAAAAAAAAAAATAGTGGCTTCCCTGGTGGCGCAGTGGTTGAGAGTCCGCCTGCCGATGCAGGGGACACGG